CATCGTATTTCTTAAGTATGTTTTAAGCCTTTTAAGGCACGAGAACGTTCTTTCGGGTGTTGATGTGGATACTGGTAAGGTACACAGTATTTTAAGTAGTTGATGCACATTTGGAAATATTGAGGAATTACATAGTCTCAGAGCATCTATAGCTATTGTAGGATGTTGATTTGTTAAATTCAATTTTGATTGCCAGATTTTTAACTCTGCAATTACTGTCTGAACATCAGTGTCAAGATAAAAATGTACAAGTTCTTCAAATTCTTGAAAGTCAATGTTGCCAGAAAATATACATTGAAAACCTAGACAGAAAGTCCATACTTATGATTTTTGTAAATAGTATTTATTTACAAATATAAATTTTAATGTAACTTGGGTACCTACCTTTTAAAATATTTTTGTGTATAAGAAATCTTTCTTTTAAATTAATTATAAAAGAGTCAATGTATGGTATTGCTATAGTAATTCTATAGTAATTTTCAGGTTGAATCGTCTTATCCTCAGTAAATATATTTGCACGATTTGCCTGTTTCTTAACTATACGTTTGATAGAAATGTTAATATCCAAAATGTCTGCCATTTTCTATTTATATTTTATAAATTAATATACTATATCTATTCCTATTTCCTATATTATAAAAATAATTTCTATGGACAATAAAAATTAGTATACCTCAGCTTCGTTATACATTGATTTAAATTCTTTTTCAATATTTTGTCTCAAATCCTCAAGCATAGATACATTGCACTCTGCTAACTGTACGGCTTCTTTCAAGTCAATATCATTTTTTTGAAAACATTTACACAAAGGTAAACCATAAGAAAATACCACCTATTAATACAATATAAGTAATTATAACCAACTAAATACAAAAAGAATCATTAAAACCCAAATATAATGTTTGATTACCTTAACAATTTGAAGAGCAATTAAAAACTCGGAATCCATGGATTTTACCAACATACTGGCGTCAGTTGATGATTTATCATTAAACGTGGTTGATATTTTGTCCAATGCTTCAACAACACATGGAAAAAGTTCAACAAAATCATTGACAGCAGTATACCTCTCTACCCAACGTGTCGCACACAAACGCTTTAATGATTTAGATGATGGATTAAGATCACTATTAGCAATAGCTTCCAATAGTATACTGTGACGTTTAGGTGTGTTAAAAAAACAATGCATTTTTTCTATTACACCCAAATAGTTCCTAATAGATTGTTGTTCACACGATGAAAACACTGCCAAATTCAATGTATGAGCAGCACAGTGAACATATAATGCTCTAGGATACTTATTTCGTATTATAGTCTGTACTCCTTTAAATTTCCCTGACATATTACTTGCCCCGTCATAACCTTGGCCATACATTTTAGAGCAGTCAATTCCACAAGAATTTAAACCTTTAATTTAAATAAATTTTATTTTATTTATTATACACAACACTTTATATATTCATAAAATACCTTCAAGAATAGTCGAAGCCAAATGCTGACCAGTTAAGTTATGTACTTCAACATACTTCAAAAAAAAATCACATAACTTAGCATTTTCTCCAGTACCATTAACAAAACGAACACACAGGGTAAGCTGTTCCTTAACTGACACATCTGCTGTCTCATCAGCTAACACAGAAAATCACTGAGCTGAATTTACCATCTTTACTAGTTTACTTAGTATCAGGTCACCACATATTGTAATAATTTCATTTTGTATCTGAGGACTGATGTATTTGTTTCGAGACTCAGATTCTAGATGATTTTTTAAATAATCTATGTCTTTAGCTTTATATTTTAAAATATCTCGAAAATTACCTTCATTCAAATTAGAATTATTACCGTCAGACTCATCTAATTTAAACATAAAATTTTAATACAAAATGTAATGTATTATAATATACATAAGCACTAACTATTAAACTTGATTGAGCCAAAATCTCTATGTCCACTGAGTGAAATCTCCTGTCTTCCACAAAGGATAATACATTCTATGATTGGAATTAATTTCAACCTGTTTTGCTTCTTCTGTTTGATCCTAAAATATAAACTTATTAAGTACAAATAAGTTACTTCCTAATAGGAAGTTCCTATTGACATTTTTACAATTATACCTTTCATCGTCCAATTTATCAATTATTGAAGGTGCATTGTTTGAAAAAATATTTAAAAAATGTTCTGATTTCAAAATAGAGGTTTTGTGATATTCTAAATTATTATGATCCGATAAAACCTAAAATTAATTTTTTTATAGTAATCATTTTTCTAAATTATAATTTCTACATATTAATACTTCTGTAGCTTTCTTCCAATTTTGAAATGGTGTTAAAACAAGACTGCCTAAGCGTTGTGAGCCAATACCACCAGCAAAAGCAAAAACCACACAGTGCTTACAAAAAGCCCCATCAAATTTTTCAGAATAGGATAGCCATGGAAACACTTTCAACCATTTGTACTGGAATCGTAGACCTCTTTTTTTCCATAAATCTAATAGTGGAAACTTATAATTTTCTGGTGGTACCCATAGATCAGTTAATACCTAATAAGAATTGATTGCATATCAG